TCTAGAAGGCAAATAACGGCCGGAAAAGTACGAGATGATGACTGAGGAAAAACCCAGAAGAAAAGCGAAGAAGAAGTGATGCACAGTATTTTCGATATCATTCATAGGAAAATCTCTGTGAAATTTGTTATTAATAAAACCAAAGATAAACCTTTAGTGTAAAAACATGTTATTGAGTGTAAGATTTTCAGAAAAGAAAGAATTTCGAGGACGCAACATTCCCTCAGTTTTCAAAAAATAAAGACTGATTAGCAAATGAGCTATCTCTTTCGAGTATTCAAATTTTCGCAGAAAACTTTAAAATCTGAAGCAATCAGTCTGTGGCATCATTGTTAAGTTATCGCCAGTAGAAGCCAGCAGCCGGTTGTGATCGCGGGGAAGATTTTAGACCAAACGGTGGTCGTGGCGCGCCCAAATCGTTTATGCCGGGAAGCCGGGCATTCATCATTCCTTTGCAAGCGGCCGAGCTTTTCTCGAAATCTGTCCTCGAAGCCGACTAGTTTCTCTGAAGGGTGAATGACGAAGCGACTTTTCCAGTACGAAATCTTTGCTTTGTAATCAGAAATTCTTGAAGAGGTCATTAACGGGTTTCAACATACGCTTGATAGCTACGATTGTAGCCGCATGGTGAATCGTCACGAGTCCCAAGCTTCGTTTTGCCGCCACTGTCCACCGATTCAGCCAGTGATTGATATCAATACGTGCGCATCCCCTATTCGGCGCAAGAATCGTGGTATCTAGATGGAAAGTTTATGGAAGTTCCGAACCTATCGCTGAAACGATGTACGAAAATACAACACAATGGGAATGTTCATGTGTGCTGAGAATCCAGCACACGTATTCCTATGCCAGACATCTGCGAAGCATCATGGAGCACGAACATTGGAAAATATTGGCTTGTTGCGGAACTCTGGCAAACTGATTGCAAAATTCCGCAAACAGAGAATGCTGGATCCATAATTTGCTTCCTCAGAGCCGTACTATTGAAATACCAGCAGCTTATTCAACTCGGAAATAGCGATAGCATGCCTCGAATGCTCAGAATTCCACGAAAATACGGAAATTTGCGCAGTTCCAGTGCTCGGTGTCTTTTTTCCCACAAGTGAAATATATTTCTCGCTTTATTGTATTGTCCTAGAAATTTGTAACTTCTATTTGTGCCTACTATATTTTACAATTTGTGTTTTCGTTTAGTTTGCAATGCACCAACTTTCTGATTGCTAGTGAATTTCGAAATTTGTGATGTGTTAGCTTGCCGGGCAGAACCAGCCTTGCAGTTTATGAATTGTTAACTTTCCAGATACTGAAAATTTTACAATGTGTTAACCTCGTGGTTTTTTTCTTTCTGGACGCTTGCGAAATCATCGATTTGTGATGTGTTAGCTTTCG